TAACAAGGAATCTTCTCGCAATCAACATTTGGGAAAACTCTGCAACATTTGCTGGTCCTTCGAGCCGGATATTCTCGAACCGCTCGTATAAGCGCAATTGTATGGAAATCAAGGTGTAGGTCACATTCACACCTACATACATACGTACAAGAAGCATAAATTTCATAACTCAAGGTGACTTTGGCTTGACCTCTGCAAATCGTTCGAAATACATGCGTTATTGTGACATTCTGCGGTCCTCTGATTTGTCCTCTACGAATTATCAGTTTTTTTACTTTGCATTACTTACAAATCTGCCGTGACTTTTTTTTGCCCTCTGCAATCAACATAAAATATCGTTTATCTACAAACGACCCATAAAGCAAAACTAATAATGTCTTCTTCGGTAAAAACTCGCGACTCCGCACTAAATGCTATAAAAAGATACATGACAAAAAGCAAAGACGAAGCTTTTCTCATGGACGTCGACACTGTATCAAGCTATTTACAACTCCTTAACGAGCAATGGGTACGTTTCACCGCTGCTCAAGATGATGTTGAAACATCTTGTGGATCTGACAATGTGGAAGTACAGGAGAACGCTCGCATACAAGGTGAAACTTGGTATGCTGAAGCTTTAGCCAACTTCAAACGGGTTCAAAAGTGTAGGGCGGAACCGCCAACGCAGCCTGCAGCTACGTCAGCGTCTGTGTCTGCTGCTATACGTTTGCCCAAAATGGATTTACCAACCTTTTCGGGCGATTCCACGGATTGGGTCGCCTTCTATGACGCCTTTTGTTCGTTGGTTGACACCAACACCGCTTTGTCAGATGGGCAAAAATTACATTATTTGCGCAGTTGCCTAAAAGGTGATGCACTAAGCATTATTAGTGGCTTCAAAATCTGTGATGCAAACTACACAGAGGCGTGGGACTTGCTAAAATCTCGCTATAAAGTAATGCGAGTTATTGTTGAGGCACACCTCAGGGCGATAGCTGACGTTCGCAAGGCTTCGGGTGACACTGCTGATGCTATTAAGGGTGTTCTCGATGCAATTCAGCAACACATACGAGAGCTTAAAGCATTAGGGCGTCCCGTAGACTTCTGGGACGATTGGTTAGTACATAATACAGTAAATAAACTCGCGTTCGAAACCCGCAAGCAGTGGGAGTTATCGCTTATTAGCGATGAACCCCCCACCTTCGAACAACTGACAATGTTTCTGGAGATTAGGTGCCGCTCATTGGCAATGATTACCGCGCCTGCTCCGCAGGCAACAACTATTAAGCCGACGACGTATAAATATGCTGCGAAATCAACAAAAGTATTTCACGCAATTCCAGAGCAAAACCCCGCGCGCTGCACGTACTGCAATGCAGCTCATAAGATCTACTCTTGCGACAAATTTCGTAGTTTAGATTTTACTGCAAAATCTAAATTTATCAAAGAATCCAAAGCTTGCTTGAATTGTTTAAGTCCAGGGCATTACAAAGAACGCTGTAATAGCTCAGCCGCTTGCCGAATATGTCATCAACGACACCATACGCTGCTTCACAGTAATACACATTCACCCGCCGCCACATCGGCTCATGTCGTCGATGCCATCGCTGCCGCTTCGAATCCCGCATCTGTAAGCAACCATGCAACTGGTTCATCTGCCACCGCTTTAGCAGTGAATAGCGCTGCTTCACACGTTTCGTCCTGCTTGAGTGCTGGTTCCATTCCGCTACCTGCAACGCAAAAATCAGTTATATTATCTACCGCATTAGTAAAGATTCGAGACTGCGCTGGTCATTGGCAGACAGCACGTTTATTGTTCGACACCGGGTCGCACGCCTCTTTTGTAACGGAGGCATGTGTACAGCGTTTGGGATTAACACGTTCATCGTCTTCTGTATTTGTCACAGGAATTTGTTCATCGCAAGGCGGTCGCTGTAGAGGCGAAACGCTGCTCACGCTTTCGTCTAATTGTTCGGATAAATGCTACGATATTACCGCGCTGATTCTTCCGAAAATCACCAACGATTTGCCGACGCAGACCTTGAGTGTTTCTAGTTGGCCACATATCCAAGGCTTATTCCTAGCTGATCCAAATTTTGCGAAGCCTGGCCGCATAGACGTACTCGTAGGCATGGATGTAATGGATCAACTAATCTGTGTGGAGCTTCGAAAAGGTCCGTCTGGCACGCCTATGGCCCAGAAAACAGTTTTTGGCTGGACTTTATTTGGAAACGTTGACAGTCTTGGTTCGCCAACGCCTAGTTTGCAATCGCTGCATTGTGATGTGCAATTAGATCGAGCGCTCGCTAGGTTATGGGAGCTCGAAGACTCGCCGCAGAAACAGCATCTCACGCATGAGGAAAACTTCTGCGAGAATCACTTCAATTCTACACATCAAAGAATGCCGGATGGTCGCTTTGTGGTTGAACTACCGCTTAAACCTAATACAGTATTGGGTGAGTCACGAAACTTCGCAATACGTAACCTGCTATGCATAGAACGAAGGCTCGCTAGCAACAGCGATTTGCGCTTGCGCTACGATGAGTTCATGAGAGAGCTCATTGACATGGGTCACATGGAGGAGGTGTTTGAAACGACGAGTGAGGTGTATTATATGCCACACCACCCAGTCATTAAAGAATCCAGCGTTACGACCAAGCTGAGGGTAGTCTTCAACGCGTCCGCCAAAACCACCACGGGTAACTCGCTTAATGACGCATTGTTTGTTGGACCTCAGCTACAGCAAGATTTATATTCTATATTGCTGCGCTTCAGAACGCATCGCTACGCGGTAACCGCGGATGTAGCTAAGATGTATCGGCAGGTCTGCGTTTCGTCGAAACACGTCGATCTGCAACGAATCGTTTGGCGTCCAGATCCATCTTCACCCATTAGAGATTACCGCATGTTACGCGTAACGTACGGGGTGGCCGCCGCGTCTCACTTAGCTGTAAAAGCGTTGCAACAAACTGCTAAGTGCACAACTAATGGGTGTAAGAAAGCGGTTGACGCGATCCTCAATGATTTTTACATGGATGACCTGCTAACTGGAGCCTCTTGCAAGTCACAACTCCGGTTGCTCCAACAAAACGTATCCGAAATTCTTCAAGAAGGCGGCTTCGAACTAAGGAAGTGGGCATCTAACTGCGCTGAGCTGAAAGAAATCATCTCCAAGTCATCTCAAACTATATCCCATTACATAGTCGACGGTAAGGACGTTCATGCGTTAGGCCTCATTTGGAACATAGAGGGCGACTACTTTACATTCGCAGTCGACCTAAAGGAGCCTCCCGCTATTTTGACTAAAAGAGCCTTTTTGTCAGATGCCAGTATTCTCTTTGATCCGCTGGGCTTACTTGCTCCTGTGACAATATGCTCGAAAATGTGGTTCCAAGACATTTGGCGCGCTGAGGTTGGATGGGATGACTTGATACCAGACACAATAGCAAATCTATGGGTTGATCATCGCGTGCAGCTGCAGAAACTAGTAGACTTGAAGGTGAGTCGCTGGCTCGGTTGTGGAACGACTGCATCCTTTACTGAATTGCACATTTTCGCTGATGCTTCCGAGCGCGCTTACGCTGCAGTGATGTACGCACGCACCGTTCATAGCGACGGTCAGGTCACCGTTTCAATAATTTCGGCCAAAACCAAAGTGGAACCGATTAAAACTACATCTTTGCCACGCTTGGAACTGTGCGCTGCTCACCTCGCTGCTAAGTTAGTTAGAAGTGTGTTGCATAGTTGGGGTGATCTACGATACCCGTTATTTGCTTGGAAGGACTCAACTATTACGTTGGCATGGTTGCAAGCACACCCTAGCAGATGGGAAACGTTTGTCGCAAACCGGGTCGCTGATATCCACGAGATTCTTCCTCCGGAGTGCTGGAATCACGTACGCTCTGAAGGAAATCCAGCAGATTGCGCGTCTAGAGGTATGACTCCGCTAAAACTTCTGCACCATGAGCAATGTTGGAACGGTCCAGAATTTCTGAGTAGTTCAAACCAGTTTTGGAAGCAAGGCTTATCAAAAACGCACGTAACGGAGTTGGGTCTACGGAAGAAGGTTCATTCTCACGTCACAAACTCGGATCTTCATTGGTCGATAATGACTAAATACTCGTCGTACTCCAAATTACGGCGAATCATCGCTTACGTTTTACGTTTTATGCTCAATACCCGCTCTAGTATTCAACGCACTGGCGAAAAAAGATGTGGTCCTCCTAGCTGTGTTGAGATAGCTGAAGCTGAGCGCCGTTTAATAAGGTATACCCAACATTTTTTCTTTACTAGCGAAATTTTTCATTGCAGCGCAAAAAGGCCGATCCCGCTCCGCAGTAGCCTGTTGCGCTTGCAGCCGTTTCTTGACTCAAATGGTATTCTTCGAGTTGGGGGTAGACTGAAGTCCGCGGATGTCGCATATGATGCAAAGCATCCCGTCATCTTACCCAAGAATTCTCCGCTGTCGAAGCTAATCATATTCGACATTCATCGGTTCACTCTGCATGCAGGACCACGTTTAATGCAAGTGGTTTTGCTACGGCGCTACTGGGTTATTGGCGCCCGCAACTTGATCCGCAGTGCTTATCGCAAGTGCGTAAAATGTACTTATTTAAATCGGAATCTCGCTACGCAATCAATGGGTGATCTTCCTGTATCTCGAGTTACCTACGTCCGCTGTTTCATTCGCACCGCCGTAGATTTTGCCGGCCCATACATGTTTAAGTACACGCACGGAAGAGGGGCGAAGTCCATCAAAGGCTATATTTGCTCCTTCATTTGTATGTGCACTGGCGCAATGCACCTAGAGTTTGTCGGAGATTTATCGACTTCCGCTTTTCTTAACGCGTTCAAAAGGTTTATTAACCGAAGAGGGTATTGCAAGACGATGTTTTCAGATAATGGCACAAACTTCGTCGGCGCTGAGAAGGAACTTCGCAACAGATATGAGCAATGCATGGCAGACGGCAGACTACAATCTTTCTTTTCTGAGTCGAACATAGAGTGGCGTTTTAATCCGCCGACCGCGCCGCATATGGGTGGGTACTGGGAGACCGGTATCAAGCGCATTAAATACCACCTAAAACGCGTTTTGGGCGAAACTCTACTTTCATACGAAGAGTTTAGTACATTATTGACAGAAGTCGAAGCATGCGTGAACTCCCGCCCGTTATGTGAAGGCACAACAAGCGCAGTCGACCTCGAAGCGTTAACCCCAGGGCACTTTATCGTTGGGGAGCCGCTTAAGTCAATCCCAGAACCTGAGGGTCAAGGGTTCTGCGGAAATCTTTATCAACGTTGGCAGTTAATTTCCGCAATAAGGCGGCATTTTTGGCGTCGTTGGAGAGATGAATATCTTGTCAGCCTGCAACGTCGCACAAAGTGGTTTCGGCCAACACGCAACTTCGAAGAAGGAGATATAGTAGCTGTGTTCAACGAGCCTACTCCACCTACAAAGTGGTTACTAGCGAGGGTAATTCGATGTCATCCTGGAGCTGATGGTCGCGTACGAGTCGTGACAGTGAAAACGTCTAATGGAGAGTTTGTTCGTCCAATAGCAAAGTTGTGCCTACTACCCACCAAAGGAGACCTATTTTGCGATGATGCTGACTCATAGCCCAATAAGATAATCGTACTTTAAGTCTTTTTTCCTATATTTAAAGTTTTTTCTTTCAAAAATGTATTGTAACCATCTATTTGTAAAATTAAGTTGAACCTATCATATGAACATAGATAGTTCAAGGGCGGCGGTATGTTGGGTTCGAATATACTAACTTTAAAGATTAATGCTTGCATGT